GTAGATTTTCTTAAAGGTGAAAAATAGTCAGATGAAATTTCGGATTTATCAGAAGATTGTAAATAATTCATAAAATTTATCCTAGTAAATTTTATGGTGACATCACCCCAGGATGATTGGGCGATTTGGGTTATTTCTTCATTTATCTCTGGTTTTTTAGGGACCACAGACTCCAATTGTCAGGTGTCTGAAAACTGAATATCTGACCATTTAATGATTTTTGGAACTTCAATTTTATTTTTAACCGTATTGGTTTCAATTAAAGTGGTTTGACCTTTAAGGTTCAAAAGTTTAGCTTCAGGACAAAAAGTATTCATGACTTTGTAATAGATTCTATATCCTAACACAATTATATCTGTTTCTTTTTTATAATTATAACCAAAAGGTTTTATATGACAAGTTAAAATATCCAAAATATTTTTATCTGTCAAAGATACAGAAATATTAGGAAAACAGTTAAAGTAAACTAGACAAATGCATAAGTTGGATTGCATAACACCTATTAAAGACTGATCAAAATTAAGACATCTAGCATCTCTTAGTACTAACATAAAAGAGACATTTAATCCTTGAAGAGTTAAAGGTTTTAAAGCAACTTGAACTAATCCAATATGCAAAAATTTATAATATTTATCTTGAGCCTTTAAGACTTCTCATTCAGTTATCAGTTATAAAATATTTTCATTTTTATCAAAAAGAACAGTCCTTTCAATCGTTTTAATAGTTAAACTTGATTTAAAATCAAACGTGCCAATATTATAGATTTTCTTAGTGGGTTATATCCCAGTTTTGCAATTTATTTTCAATATGAGAGAATTTTATCTCTTCCATATTTTTAACATAGTCATCTTTATGATTAAGTTTAAATTTAAATTTAAATAGGTTTAAAGCCATAGTGGTATCTCAAAGGTTTTTCTGTTAACTTATATGTTTAACTATTACTTTCTTCTAGTTACTATTGTAATTCGTCTTTTAATTCTATTACAGTACTGTTACTGTGACTATTGCTACAATAATCATGGTATAATAATCTTCTCAGCATCTTATTGTGCTAAATCCTGTTTTAGTGAATTTTTCCAAAATCCTATTTTTTTGCAATCAATTCTGTCGACGCTCGAAGGGAATAAAACGGCCTAGCACTCCTATCCACGAAAAAAACGGCCTACTATCCCTAATACGCGACCATGAAGGCAAAACCATAGAAGAAAATAAGAAAAATATCATGCAAACACAAACTTAACAAACAATAAAAGCTTTCAAAGAAACATCATTATCACAGATACCAACAACAGATAAATGAATTAATTAATAATGAATACCTTAAAGAAAAAATCTTTAAAATTGTTTTAAACTCAAAAAGTGAGTTCGAGAATAATTCTGAAGACTACAATATTAATGAAATTAGTGATTCTTCTTCAGGAATCGAATCTTTAGAACAGGATAAAGTTTGTTCTTCACATTGTAAAGCAGAGAATGACTATTATAAAGCTATTTTAATTATGAATGAATTAAGTAAAAATATTTTGACTAAGTCACAAAATTTTATTCTTGATCTTATTGATAAAATTCAGGATCCAGCATCTAAAAGAAAAACTATTGAACAATACTTAGAGATAAATCCCGAAGAAAAGAGACTTAATTTGTCTCAACCATATTCATTAAAGGAAGTTCTTAATATAAATGAAAAGGGCATAAGTAATGACCCACTCCAAATAAAAGAAGTTTTGCCTACTACGGTTCAAGATCTAAAGAAGAAATCAATAAAGTCAAGAAAGACATAAAAGTCATAAAGGCTAGACTTTTAGCCTTAGAAAAAATGTCACTCGAAGAAAGTGACATTCAAGATAATAAAGCATTACAGTCTAACTCTCCAAATAATGAATACATAAATGTATTAGAAAAAATAACTTATCAGAAATGGTATGTTAAAATTATCTTAGTTATAAATTCTGAATTTACTATTGAAACTATTGCTCTAATCGACAGTGGAGCAGATATGAACTGTATAAAGGCAGGATTAATTCCAACTAAATATTTTGAAAATACTACTCAGTCAGTAAGTGCTGCTGATGGTTCAAAATTAAATATAAATTTTAAACTCTCTAATATTTTTGTATGTAATCAAGGAATTTGCATTCCTACCACTTTTATGTTTATTGATAATTTAAATCAATTAGTGATTTTGGGTACACCATTTTTTCTTTAATCAAACCTATAGAAAGGATTGATTCTAAAGGTATTTTGACTACCACAAATGGTCAACAAATATTATTTGAGTTTATAACTCCACCTCAAATAAAATTGATAAATCAAATAAAAGAAAATCTGATTTATAAAAAAAATCAATTAAAATTTTCATTAAAAAGTGATGTTCATTTTGCAGGAAAAGTCCAAGAAGTTACAGAAATGAGTCATAACCCAGATTCATTCTCTTTGAATCTTATTGTCAAATCACATGAACTTCTTGACTGTTTTTGTGATTATGCAGGAAAAGATGTTTTTAGCTTTTCTTCTACTTGGAATCCTAATAATTGCAAGGTTTTACTTTGGTGTCTCTATTGCAATGCTATGTAAGATCAATCAATTGATCATATACATATCTTTTTGTTAAGAATTGCAAGACGTCAAAAGAATCTTTAAAAACAGGTTTAAAGTTCCATCTTATTCTTGAAATTAATGACTGGCATTATGATTGACACTATAAACAATGGCCGGAGACTATAATCCCAGAAGAATTTTGCCAAGAAATGATAAATAAACTTGGTAGTATAACTGTTAGAACCCAAGTTTTTGCATATAAAAATGCATATTATTCTGACGAATATAAAAATATTTTTTATGCATATAGAAGTTCATATTATTTTAATCCATATAAGAATGCTCATTATTTTAATGCATATAAAAAATGCTTACCATCCTCCACTCTCTATAAAGACATCATCACATAAAGGTGATATAAATGATAACCCATCAAAACAACTTAAAGTTGTTACATCTTTGTCAAATAAAGTTGACAATAAAGATAAGTTGTCAGGAGATAAATCTCTCTATTATTCAAAAATCTTTGACTTTGTCTCCATATATGGAGCTTAATTTTTCATTTTTCTCTAAAATTATTGAAAGGATATATCCTTATCATATTAATGATCCCAGACAAATCAGGGATATTAAGTATCCCAGAAAAATTAGAAAATATTTAGTCTAATTTGGAAAATTACCCGCTTTACTTTAAAGATAAAATCATAGCGGAATGTCTTAAAGACATTGATAAAGAAGAAGATAAATCTTCAACTGATAAAGTTTTATCTTCTACATCTCTAGTTCCCTTTACCAGTATAAACACTGGAACTAATTTAAATCCTGTGGAAATTCTTAAAAAACTAATTAAAAAAGAAAAATCTCATTTAAATCCTGAGCAGCTTAAGGCAGCGGTTATGGAGGAATTTGACTTTCAGATCATGTCTATTTTTGACATGAGCAAAATAGAAAAGATGCATGTAGTTAACCCTCCTATAGTTGCCATAAAAGACAAAGAGAAAAATAAAGTTGAGGAAGAAATAGGAAATCTCCCACTCCTATTAACTATGATGACAACTTTATAGATTTCCAGGGATATACCCCTCTTAAAAGTAACATTACTATTAATAAATCTTTGCTTAATGAAGATTTAATAAATGACGATATGGAGATAAATCTTCATGATGACAGAGATAATATACTGTCTACTTTATTGATAAACCTAATTTCTCGGATAAAACTGACCAGGAAAAAATGACGTAAGCCCTTACATCACTACGAAGAAGCAACGCACGCCCTGACGTCACTATGAAGACTGTAAATAGTGTACAGTAAAAAGTGTACAATATTTATGACGTATGCAATGACGTCATTGTAAATTATTAAAGTTAGGAACAGTATAAAATTGTGAATAGTATTTTTTGTTTTGAAATCCGAATTTCATGTCCGGCTCTATATAAAGAGATGAAGGCCCGACTTGTGGAGTACCTCATCTCTACCAACCCCTACACCTTTACCTACTCCTTCCTTCCTTCCCTCTTGCACCCTCGGTGAACCCTCTTCTCTTGTATAAACCCTTCATCTTCCATCTTCCATCTTCCACCTTCCACACTAATACTATAAGTTTACCTTGTAAATAAAGTTTTGTTTATTAATAAAAGTTTCTCTTCTATTTTGTAGACTTCACAATCCTCCTCCTTGTTGATATCAGAGCCATATACATGTATACGTTTTTATATACATGTATAAATATACGTGTATATATATATATATATTGTTCTCTTTATTTCTAAAATTTTCAAAAAAAACTCTGAAAATAAGCTACACTTGTTTTCTGTTTTTTAACTAAAATCTAATTTTTTTTCCCAAAATTTAGATAACAAAAATGCTAAACAAACAGATTTTTGGTGTTTTTGAAATTTTAAGAACAAAAAACTGTTTTCCGAGATGATAACCAAACATGACCTAAGCTTCTTTTCACTATACCATTAAAGAAAACGGGAAGATAACTCCTAGACTTTGTTTGGTTAATGGTTATAAAGCTAATTTTTTTTATCACAAGAACAATTTTTTGAGGTTAGCTGCCCATAAAATCCAATAGAATGAAGGGAAATGCCAGGATGCAGATTTCTGGGTTATTGATTGCCTGCTCACAACCATATTCAGCTTTATTGACTTGCATTGATTTAGTAAAAAACCATTTTTCTTGAATATTCGTTTCCAGAAATATGAGTCAATCAAATGCACTAACAAAAATGAATTACCTTGCACATATTTTGTCAAGGGTATAAGTCACAAAACCTGCAATGAAAACAGGGGGAGAGAATTTAGCTCAGCATAGCATCATTTTCCACATATATATGTATAGAAAATACGTTTTTCATATGGTATTTGTGTGAACCAAACAAAACAAGAAAATACCAAGACAATTCAGTTATCATTGTATCCAACCAAAATAAAATGGACAAAAAAGTATTTGGTGAATTCACAAACGTTATATACACATAGCATTAGAATTCAGGCCACTCATGTACAGTTTCAGAGCAACTACATACGCTTGAACTCCTCCAGACTCGTCTGCTTATGCCGGCTACCAAAGCAAACTACTATGGGGCGCCCCATCTTATCCACTCCTTGCATATGAATCTTCTGATGAGCGAGATCATTAGGAATTTCTGATGGAGATATGGATCCAGCCGGGACATATTCTCTCCTCCAGCTTAGATACTTTAGAAATAGGTCAGAAGCCTTTTCAATATCTAGATCACGGGCTCGCAGAAATCTACGAATCATCAAATCATCCACTTCCTGAAAACCCAGCCAAAAAGGAAAATAAATGCACAAATAAGCATGTTTACAACAACACTGCAATCAGCCTGTCAGATTAATGATGAGTAACAAAATGCCGACAAACCTTTAAGGTAAAATGAGCACAAAGGAGATTCTTTACCGTTGAGCAGAGGAATAGGAATCCAAAAAATCCAAAGAAATGTGCATAAAACTTCTTGTAAATAAAAGATTGTGCTACCTTTATTGTTTTCAAAGGACATACCTACATTTACACTTTTTATCCAACTTCAGGGAGTTGCGAATTCGCTTAACTCAAATTAACAAGCTTTAAAATCTTAAACACATTGGACCGACTACATTATCTGACTTCTCAGGAAGATAAATATCTTCAATAAAAATCAAGGCATTTATGACACCTCTCATGCCATCAACACATTTTGTCTTTGAACTTTCTCTTGTCATCACACAGGAAATTCTGCCATATAATCATCAATTGATGCCACTTCTAACATTCCACCTATCACATGAAGAGAATAACCAATCTAAGATTCCAAGATATTTAAAAAAAAAAAAGTTACCATTTATGTGTTTCTTTGGTCCTCAAATTTAACCGTATCTTCATTCGTACTTTTAATTTTGAATCGATGAAACTTACATTTTTGTATTAGTTTCAACTAACTTAAACAGTTAGACGCTAAGATACCCATCCATAATTCTACCTTAGAATTAAAGCCTACTTCCATAGGTAGCCTCTTGGATGGATGACCGTTGGGCTGCTGTTATATCTTTAATACGCAACTTAAAAAGAAGTCTGAAACCAGCACTGTCCATCGAAAATTTAACTTTCCATCTTCTATCAGTTTTGAAATTTTTTTTTCATGTTCTGGTCCTTCACTACTCCTTTGTCTCTTTTTGTTATTGTTATTCGTTGTTGCTTGGTGGTATTATTTAATGAAATGATTAGTTTAGGATTTTATCGACGGAATCAATTTATAGCGATATATTGATCCTTTTTTTTTTTTTTTTGAGTTTTACTTATTGTGGGCAGTGAATTTGGATCCTCTGATTAAATGGTTTGTGATCTTATAAATTTCTCTCTTTATGATCTGTAGTTGCATGCAATGTTTTATGTCAGATTTTGTACTCAAAATAGATATGTAGGCTCATATTCCATTTAAATTTTGTAGGAGCACAACGAGATTTACCTTCCATGGCCCAAGAATAGTGAGACCCACCAAGATTCAAACCATGTTGCATTTTTTTTTTTTTGGCTTCGGTTGATTCTCGATTGGAGGAGAACATGAAGAAGACAATCACAAAAACCCAAGTTTCCTCTAAATCTTGTTGTTTGTAAGTACCCAATGCTCAGATCCTATATATTTTTTTCTTTACTCTTTGTAACCAGGGTGATGAATGATGATCTTTGAGTTCTTGGAGGACACTTACGGTAGAAAATAATGATCATTTAGGGAATTGTTAATTTGGACGTGACATCATTGCTAAAGTGGCTTGGTGTTTTGCAGGTAGTTATCAAGGTTAGCCAATTGGGTGTGTATTGAATGAGTTATTTTGGTGTTAAAGTTGTAACTCAAATACATATCATCCCTTTGATGAATAGGTTCCATCAATTTTTTCAGCGGAACTCATTCATTCAAGGGATGATATACATTTGGGTTATAATTTTTGGATTTCAGTTGAGTTGTGTAGAATTTTCTTGATGTAAAATTACAATTATACATTTCTGTGAGTGAAATTTGTTAGCTTGCTCCTATATTTACCTTTTGTTTCTCCATACATTCCAACCCATATTCTCAAGTCGCTCCAATATTGAAAAATAAAATTACAAAAGAAAAGAAAAAAATAAGAAAAATTGTAACAACGGTCATGTGCATCAACTAATTCATAAAAAAGATATGGACACATGACAAGTAGTGAAAACAAAAAATCCCAGGTTGCAATTACCCCTTCCTAATTTAAGCATCATAATAATAGAAGTATGGCACATATAATTTTATTTAATTTCGTTATTTTAACAAGCATGTAGCGTTACCCCAATCCAATCTACCCAGAACAACAACTGCAGAATATTCATTAAGGTGGGACCTTGTCAGTTAACAGTGAAAATTATAGGAATGATTAATGAAATGAGACGTTAGAAAAGGCAAAGCAGTAATATGAGCAATCCACAAACCAAGCAAAAGCGAGTGGAAATGTGTTCATAGGACTACAGAGGAGCCAAAATTAGGACTTTATATTGCGATTTATTGCAGGGAACAGGAGTGTCGTGTTTAAATATACATACACCCACAATAAGATGTGATAGATCCATAACATATACACCCACAATAAAGCTTGCTTCTTTACATATATATTCTTCCTGGTCTGCAGGACACCATACCATAGGCCCCAGAGACCACCTTAGGCTTTATAAATTACATACAAGAGTAGCAAGTGATGGAATAATCTGTCTGAGAAACAGTGAAATAGACATGGTTTAACTAAACGAAAGGGAGCTCAGTCAAGTCATGTATCTAATTAGACAACAGCAAAAGGAGAACAAGAAAGCAAATAGCAATCAGCATTTAAAAAGTGAAAGAAAGCAACGAAGGGAGTTTATTATAGAGGTAGTGAAGCTGGGTTGAGCTGACAGACCTTGGTAGAGGGATCTTCTCTTTCGGCAAGGGCTCTCATGATTCCCACTTTGCTGCGCTCTATCTCATCACGTTCAGTGTTTTCCAAGCTATCTTCTTTGGCCTCATCTCCATCCTCCTCATGGGCGGCAGCGGATATGGAACCCATTTGGAATTTTTTACGGAGATACGAAACCATTTCTCTCTCAATCTCTCTCCAAATCAGAGAAGACCAAACACAATAATATGGTAGAGAGGGAGAGAGAGAGAGAGAGGGAGGGAGAGAGAGGAGTTGGGTGTGGGTGGATGGAGTTATCTATGCAGGCGGATAGATTAGATGAGGGAGTTGACTGGGCGGCAGACAGCTGAGGGAATCTGATTATCTAAGGGAAACCGACGAACTTCGTCCTGGTAGTGGTAGGCATAGTTTTGGTCCTCCTGTTTGGAAGTTTTGGTTTTGGTTCTGGTTGGGATAGAAGGGACTAGTCAACCGAGAACTCCGTCATTGACTCCGACTTTTCTCTGTTCTCTCATCTTCCCATTTTCTTACAGTATACTATTTTTCCAGAGGTTGATATCGTATTAGACCGACGAAGAAATAAGATAAAAATCTGGAAAAATTTCAATGGCATCTCTTTTAATTTATTATATTTGTAAGAACATTTTTTTTATTATTTAAAATATCACTAACATTTTTTTTAATTTATATTTAAATATTATTGATACTTTTTACTGTTAAACCACCATTTTTAAAAAAAAAATTATTCATCTAAAATATTAAAATTATTCCTACATAAACTCAAACAATATTTTTATATAAAATTCGATTAAAATTCAAACCAATTAAAATTTATTTTTTACATATTAAAATTAGAGTGAATTAAAAACATATTAAAATTTAAACCGATTAAAATTCAATTCGATCTGATAAAATTTTATTTTTTTACATTAAAATTCAGCCTTTTAAAATTTCTTTTTTTATAAATTAAAATTCGAAGCAATTTGAGCTCTACGTGAGTTATTAGCAGCGATTAAAATTTAAAATTTTTTACTTATTAAAATTTGTGTTAATTAAAATTCGATTCAAGTTGATTAAAATTTATTTTTTATGTATTAAAATTTGAGTCTATTAATATTTATATTTTTTTATGTATCAAAATTAGGGTCGATTAAAATTCAATGAGAGTTGATTAAAATTTGATTGTAGCCGATTAAAAATGAATATTTAACTGGCTTGAATAGAATTTTTTTCAAATCAAATTGTAATAAGTAAAAAAGTATAATTTTTAATCGACTCGAATTGTAAAATGTAAAAAATAAATTTTAATTATCTCGAATCTAATTTTAATTAGTCCAAATTTTAGTTCGTAAAAAAATTTAGAAAATAGAGAAGGTTTCATTAAAAATATGTCGATCGATAAGGGATGTGGATAAAATTTTACTTAAAATATATCATAGACAATTTAATAAAATTACATTCTACTTAACAATTTTAATTTGACAGTGGTGTTAGTGAAGATTCTAAAAATAAAAAGAATAGTCTTAAATATATGATAAATCAGAAGGGGCGTGATTGAAATTTTTCTTAAAAAATATTTAACATCAGGAGTATAAAATTTCAATTTGAGGGATGCTAACTTAATTATGTGTCAAGAAAAGATGGGTTATAAACCGATTTTGGAAGATGGGTTATAACCCGATTTCGGAAACAAGTTTAAAATAAGAAATTATTATGTAACTTTACCATTAATATACATGACTAAATTTTGCAATTAACTCCCTTTGTTTAAACCTTCATTTCCCTTGTTTGAAAGCAAAAGAAATAAGTAATAAACAAAATTACATTAAGTACCATATACAAATAAATAAATACATGACATAGATAGGATGCAATTATTTTTTGGGCTTTTTTTTTTATTCTCATGTGCTTTATATTATTAATAGTTTATATCCATACATTTTTAAAATTGTGCACAAAACCTCCTCAAGTTATGGACGGAAGTAAAATAACTCATTGCTTTATGGAAGTGCAAATTGACAACTCTAACCTCCTTTCTCAATTCACGGGTTTGAGATTAGATGAGATGTTGATGTTGAGAAATAGAGAGAAAGAGCATATCAGAGAAAAAGAGGGTGGAAAGTCCATTTGTACAGCTGGCTTTGTCCATTTAGTTTGTTGCGAAAGCAACAGTCAAACGCATCAGTTACACTTTTGTGTATCCTTCAGCAATTCAATGCCCAATTGAAAACTCCTCTACTGCTACTTATGTGCATTGCTCTGTTCGTCCTTCCTTGATCCCTTCATTGGGTCGATTTTGAGCTCGGTGGTTGGGTGTTTAGGAGGAGGAGGAAGAAGGTCATGAGAATTAGATTTCAAAAAAATGTGGATATGTAGTAGATGGGTTATTTTTGGTTGCTCTCGTTCATGATTCTGTACAAACGTCAATATTGAAGGTCTTGATCACAATGCATTTTTTGTTTTTTGGCTATTAAAAAAAAATAGTGAAGGCAAAGAAGAGCATCCAAAATCACCCCTATAAATGATCACAATACACTCAGAGGGAGAATGTCAGGTGAATTTTTCCTCCCATGCTTATTGGGCCAATAATGAGACTTAACGTCTATTAGAGTCCTGTCGGTTGTTCCTAAATTTGAATAATTGATTCCTGATGTTTATATAACATCGAGTCGGCACTAGGCCACACAAGTATCATTATCATTTTGTTTTGTATTTACTCAAAGATTGGAAATTTGAGCAACATTGACTTATGAGGGTTGGAGGTTGCTTTTGCCATATGTATGAGTGACTTATGGACTACATACCATGTCCATATGTGACAATGACTTGGATAATGGGATCATTAATCATGATAATAATTGGTTTAAGTTTAAACCTCTTTAGAGTCCAATACTCTATGAGCTTCTAGAAAGCGGTCCAAGAAGCTCATCCAAACAAACTCTCCTAAGCACGAATTGGGCATCAGACTTGTTGCAAGGAAGTTCAAAGTAATAAGTGCAGCACAATAACAAGCTCGATACTCAGGAGCTCGAAACAGGGCCAATCTGCAAAAGCTGCAATGTGACTCATGGACGAAAGACAAAGGAACATTACCTAACAGCTCTGATGAACAAAAACCCACAAATAGTGGAAACGGGTCAAGTACTACAATCGGCAAGTGGATTCAAAAAGGCTTCGAGGACCATAGCTCCAGGATAAAGACAAACCCAGAAGGGACCACATAATTAGTCAAAAAGGACAACACATGAAACCTTAACTACCAGTTGTATTTTTAGCCAATAAGGCTATAGTGCACCAGAGGGTCATTCTGTAAGCCACCAAGTAAAACCTAAGTAATGTCTTGTAAAGGCTTCAAGCCAAACACCCTGTAATAGCAACATTCTTCCCCAAGCAATAAAATTCTCAATGAGCAAGAGTCTCCCTTACAATTGACGTAACCTTTGTCCTTCAGCTAAGGCAAACCACTAATACTTTGTCTTCTTCTTGCAAAATACATATAGTATACACCTCCACACTCACATTCTCGTAGATACCCACACACTCGTTGGGCTTCACCCAAGTCCGTTCTGCAACCCAATCCAATTAATTTCGAGCACCATCAGGGCATCGTCTATGGGAACGATTTTCATCGTTTCTTCTTAAGTTTCCTTCATCCATTTGAAAGTTTAATGATCTCTACTCGAAATATGAGTAAAACTCACACAAACTAGGGAATGCTGCATAACCAACAAGGTACCATCCAGGAGAACCAGCCAGGAAATCTCTTGATCCTGGCAATGAACCCTCTGGAAATGGACCCAACTCCTATTAAGTTGGAAATGTACCGCCGAACCACTATGTATTTGGTAAAGCAAAACCAAGACCTCGTAGCATGGATCTAGGCTCACCATCTCTACCAGGCCCCACTCGCGCCTCCTGCACCACCTCCATAGGACCACAGCCAGCTCAAAATGACCATCCTCTTCAGGATCATCAAAACCTACCACCATCCAACAGAGTCACAAACACCCATGACCATGGTCACTTAGGAGAAAACCACTGCCAACAACAACCAGAAGAGAGAATAGATAACGAGGCTTATAGCTGCGTTAGAGTCATTCCAAAAGAATATCACCTTCCTTCTCCCCAACCTAACTCTATGGACTAGTTTTAGGAGCAAAGGTTTCGAGAAATCCAACAAAGAAGTAGTGAAAGGGAAAACCTCTTGTGACTATAGACGCCCTAGTCTAGCAAACTAAATCCCCATTCACTATGAAAATCTTACACTTCCCTTTGTCCAGAAGTTCAAAATGCCACAGATAGAGGCGTTCGACGGGACTAAAGACCCCGTAGAGCACCTCAACTCATACAAGAACCAAATGGAGCTCCATGGATATCAAGATCCTATTCGACCTTAAGTTTTCACTATCACCCTCAAAGGGTCGGCAATAGTTTGGTTCAATAGGCTACCGCCAGTATCAATCTCCTCCTTCCAAGAACTCTTCATACAATTCGTGTCTCACTTCATTGGGGAACAAACTTATTGGAAACCATCTTACCATCTCTTAAGTGTCAAGAAAGGACCAATGAATCTCTTATAAGCTATGTACAGATGTTTAACTAGGAGTCCCTGAAAGTTGAAAGTATAGATGACAAGTTCGCCATGACCACCTTTATGTCGGGACTCGGCCTCCAGTCCAAAGATTTAATATTCTCCATCGCTAAGAACCCCTAAGCAACAATGGTTGAGGTCCTTTCCAAAGTAGAGAAATACATAAATGGAGATCAGACACTCTACATGAAGGGAATGCGTCAACCTCGAGTGAGGGCGAAAAAAAAAAATAAAGACGCAGCCCATGGAAAGAAAAAAGGTGAGATTGATCCCCAAAGTGGGAGAAAGAATCATCCCGCAAAGGAAGGGGAACATCAAGGACCGTCTAGGACCACCACATTAAGAGCTTCAACCACAATATATGTCAAGTCGAATCACCCCCCTCAATGCCACTATTTCTCTAGTCCTCTATGAGGTCCAAAACGAGGGATCCATCAAATGGCATCTTAGAATGAAGTCATACCCTCAAAAGCGTGACCTAACAAAATACTGCGACTTTCACAAAGACTACGGTCACAATACCGATGAATACATCTACTTGAAGAAGGAAATATAATATCTCATCCAGTGGGGCCATTTGAGGAACTAGGTGACCAGAGGGGAATGAGATCAAAATGAAAGGGATCGAAATGGCCGAGCTGCAGATCCACCCTCACAACAACACCAATAGGCCCTAAGGTTTCGTTGGGAGAGGAGATTTGAGCTCAGCTAGGAAAGCACTTGCTACGAGGACTAAATCAGATGACTTTTTTGACGTCTAGACAGTTTGAAAGGCCCCACGTTGAGATCTTGAAATAAATTTCTCGGACGCCAACTAGGAGGGATACCAGCTCCCCCACGACGACCACCTGGTCGTGAAAACTATTATTGCAAACAAGACAATACATCGCGTTCTCATCGACAATAGCAACTTGCCCGATATCATTTTTCTCTCTGCTTTTGAACAGCTCAATATAGACAAATACAAGCTCGAACCCGTGAGTACTCATCTGTTAGGTTTCTCAAAGGAGAGAGTCATGCCTTTGGGATCGATCCAACTTATTCTCACACTAGGAGACCACCCTTGCCAAATCAACTAAGCTTTTCAACCTAAGAGTTTTTCAACTCGGTCGATCACAGGCTCTTTAGCCTTCAAAGAGTTTTTCAACTCCTAAAGGCACAAAACTTTCAACTCGTACTTGGTCGATCACTAGCTCTTTAGCCTTCAAATTTCTTCAAGGAGTTCATCAACTAAACTAGTTTTTCAGCCAAAGAGCATTGAAGCTCTGAAAAACGCAACAAAAAAATACAAGTGACAAAACAAAAAGATCATGTCACATTAAAAAAATGGCAAAAGAGGATTACAAGAAGCGTAACAAAATGTTCAAGATCCTAGGTTTCTTATTTTTAATGCCTTGATCTCTTCCTTCAGTCGTGCATTCTCTTCCCTCATCTCGTCCCTCTCATTCTCAACCTCGAAGAACTGTCCCCTCAACATGGCCAGCGTGAACGACATCTCCAGCTCAGCGACTGTAAATCTCTCTTTGCTTGTCAAAGGGTTCGAGGGAGGAGATAGAGGTGACTTCTGGGTTCTTTTCCTTCTCTTCTTTGAGGGAGTTGCAATGTCTTCCTTAACACCCTATGACAAAAGGTTAGTATCTTCCTCAAAAGTCAAAACCCTCTGAAGGAAGGTCCTCGACAACAATAGAGGGCAGGGTAGTAGCAGAAACAATGGCTAGAATGGTAGCTGGGTCAAGACCAAGCCCAAACCTAGGAAGGTTTTGAGCTGTGACCAATGTGGAAAAGGGAATTACCTCTATTTGGCTAAGGTTACAGACCCTTATGATCTCATCAGGGGTCAACCCGAGATCACCTGTGTCAATACAAAAAACAACTAGCATCAAGAAAAAGAGGAACAACACGAAGGTGTTCTTTTTACTTGGAGAAGTGGGCTAAATCATTACCTATGCTTAGAATGCATCCCCAAGATCATGGCACATGGAAATTATCCGTGGATGCCTCATCGAATTCTCAAGCATCCCCAAAGATGAAGAAAAAACGCTGCTACCAACCCTTGGAAGAGTTTAGAGAATGATGAGCTCAAACCTCCAACTCAGAGATCGACGAGCTCGAACCTCCAACTCAGATAATGATGAGCTCGAACCCTTACATTAAGAGCTCAAGAACACGAGGATTAGTGTTCCTCTACCATAGAGGATAGGAAGCTCAAACCTCAAGCTTGAAAGATGAGGAGCTCGAGCTCTCCTGCCCACGACAAGTAACAAGATAAAGTCTGGGAACTGAACCAACAAATTTAGCACAATCAACAAAAATCATAGTCCAACCAGGTCAAGACCTAATTAGAGCAGGAGGCAAGGGAGATATGTAGAATCCAAAAGAGGTCATTTTATTCAAAAGGGAAAAGAAGAGTATTTACATAAATTTCAACAAAAAAAGCAAAGCATGCAAGAACCAATGTCGTCAAGGCTTTATGCAGTTGGATCGGCATCGCCACCTCTTAAAGGGGGGTCAAATAGAGGATTAAGCTTGTCAAAGCAAAGATCAAGAAACTTCTCGATGGCTTGCTCCTCAAAGTTGAAGAACCCATCCACGAAGGCTTTAGTAGCTTCTCTCTTTGATTTCTTTATCTCCTGCCTTTGTTTCTCCACCAGCCGTCTTTTTTGCACCTAATGAGTTCTCCAAATTAGAAATGATTGCACAGGACTGGGCTAGCTAGGTCATTAGATCCATGTTCTCAGCTTGTGTGCTCACCAGTTCATCCTCCCTCAAGCTTAACTGATCTCGCAAGGAGATATCTGAAGTGGTGGCATTAAGCAACTACTAAGACCTGGGCTTTCTGCTCAAGGGCTATCTCCAACTCGGCCGCCAACCCTGCACCCTAATGCAACAGATCTGCCAACCTTACTTTTCTCCTCAACGTCGCCATCCTCAAATAGTGAATTTCCCTACCTAATATACAGGAGTGAGTTATAACCTAAAAGCAAACTAAAGGGGTAAATGTTGGTAAGGCAAAAGACTGACCAAGAAAAGCAACAGGCCAAACCTCAAGAAGGGCATGAAAATAATCTTGGGTCCTTTCCGTAAAGGGGAGGTCGACAAAATAACAGAGGCCAACTTGAGGAATTAGCTGCATGAAAGCTCGGCTAGTCCTGGCTACATCTTCCAACAAGCTCGTACCAGGATTTTCAACCATGACAGGATTAGGACGCCTCAAGCTGGAGCCCTCCACACCCCTACAGTGAGAGCCATGGTGCACTGGGTCCACCTTAAGATTAATGGAAATGACCTCAATGGTGACCTCTCTGGCTGATGGCAGGGTAAAGGTCTGGACCTGAAAGCTCTACATCGGACGATCTTCAGCAACCCTCACCTTCTTAGCTTGAGACTCAGGACCCGTGCTAATCTCCTTTGGCCCACTCACTCTATGATTGCATCTCTCTCACTGACTAGATATGTATGAGCTAAGAAAATAAGTCAAGCAAATGAGAAAAATAAGAAGACCTCACAAAGGACAAGTTAGACAAACTTTGCAAGAAAAATAGACACTTACTATTCAGGATACCAGTCAGCTTGGCCTCCATCAACTCAACAAGAGAAACAGGCCCACGAGCCCGAGCTTGATTGACCTAAGTTCGTGTGTAAAATCTGGGTAAATTTAAAATTTTTATTAAAAAGGGGTAAAACAGTAATTTATCACTCCAGCATGGGTTAAAAACCTATATTTTTTAGAACTCAGGTGATACCTTTGGATTTTTCTCGCAAAATTTAGTTACCCTGTTAATTTTCATCGAATTTCGAGACAGTCAAATTTTTTACATTTTACGAGACGACCGGGTGTCAAGTGACCTCAAAAACGACCACGAAAATAAAATTTAAAATAATTTAAGCGAAATTCATATAAAAATATTTTAAACTTAAATCATGATAAAATTTAATCATTTCGGGATAAAAACGGACCCGAGAATAGAAAAAGCATAGAACAATGTGGACCAAACATTAAAGGGTATAAATAGGAGAAAAAATATAATTTTTCTCCACAAATCTCTGCTTGGTTTTAACATTGGAAAAGAAGAGAGGGAAGAAAGGAAGAAAGAGAGAAAGCTCCACCTTCTCTCTACGATTTACGGAGTTCCACCAGTCAGAATCCTTCGGGCCAAGTATTAAAGTTCATCTGCGCGACAAGGACTATGCTACCATACCAAAAAGGATGGATTTCGCCAAAGATTCAAAAATAAAATCCTGAGAAATTCAAATTTAGAGCTTGGGAGGTTTTCTTGAAGGCTTTTTTACCATTGGTTTACACTTCAAGAGGTAGTGTTTTCTCCATAACTAGGTTTATTTCCAACCTAGGACGACTATATGAAATGGGTAGGTTGTTAGATGTATTTTAACACTTTCTTATTATAGTTGATTTAATGGAAATAGATAAATTCAATTCTAGTATGAATTGGTAATTAGAAATTGCTAACTTGTGATTTCTTAGAAATTTTGATAATTAGGTATATAAAAATCACTTAATGTGATATTTTGAGTTAAGTGATGAATTTGGACATTTTATGTAATTACATAATTTGGTATCTTGAAGGTGTTTGATTAAATGTCTATGTGAAATTAAGTGTGTTATTGCATAAATTATGTATAACATGCTTGGGAAATAGTAGTTAAATGAAAATGTTGATATATGTTTGTTGATATATTGACATTGTAATGAATTATGATAATTGTATGCTGGGGATATAATTTGACATAGAATATGTTGTTATCTAGTTAAATTGGGCCATATGACATTCATAGCATATTGGCCATGATTGTTGTTTTACAATTATGCATTACACTGCATATGCACGGAGACATTGCATTTTGTGGGTGTGTGTGCAGGGTTGTCATCAATCACCACACTTGGTGGATGATGGATGGGCTTGGGAAAGTTGGGTCTAGGACCCGATTGAGTCGCATGGTTAACAAGAAGGGTTAGACTATCCCTCCAGTGGGAGACCCAATGTTTAGGATACGCACTCCCTTGGTTTAGTCCATAAAATGTGTCGATGTATGTGGAACCGTTTATGGAAGTCCATGAATTTTGTGTCAGCTGGAGGGCCCATTGGTGTAAGCCCATAAATACCTACTCCAAGAAAGACCTGGAGATTTTTAAAAGGCCATTGGATGTGCAACATCAATGACAAGGGCTTGGAATGCCCGATTTTAAACTCATGGCATTTAATGGGTGATAGGAGTTAGTGAAGGCTCAGGTTGAGTTGTATGAGTGAATCTCATCTTATTTCATGGCATGACATAGTGAATTCCAACATTGAGTTGCATATTCTTGATTGGGATGCTTTGTGATTTGTTGAAATTTCATATGACATTTTATATGCATCTGGGTTAGGAAGTAGCATTTTTAAGAGATACCCGATTGAGCGTGGCTCACTCTTTATGCGAAACATTTCAGGTGCGGGGTATACACTAGTGAATGGCTCACACTCAAGGCCTCAAGGATGAAGAAAAGCCGACACTTGGCTTTTAAAACCATATTTTGTAAAACATTTGCTAAATATGATTTTGGGCATGTAAATATATGGAAAAGAATTATAAATCGAACCCATATGGACTATTTTTAATGTAAAATTACATGTTGTTATATGAATATGAATAAATGGACTCGGTATGGTCAATGTTGTATGATTGCACAGATTATATTTTGAGTAAAACTCTCCGTACAAAGGAGATTCTGTCCGAATTTTATTAAATTATGGATCCTGGTAAATGGGGGCATAACGGCGTGATATCGAGTTACATGGTATCCACGGGTATTTCACTGGTTGATGGGCGATCAACGGATTGACAAAGGACCCCTAGTTTTTGGGGCATTACACTGTGTATCTCTGGGCAAGCTCAAATATTCATTTGAAAATGAAAGACAAAGTTAAAACCATAGATGCAAACAATAGGTAGCTTGGTAGAAGAAAACTCACCAAGATGAGCACATCGCCCCCAAACCGTGGATACACACAAACCGCCGAGATAACCTGAGAAGTAAAATCCCAGCTTGTTCCAGATACAAAGGAAAACCTTCGCTTCCAACCTTTAGGTTCAGGAGGAAGGTTAGAGATAGTAGTTTTGTCTCCTCTTCTCCCTACAAAGGAGTATAACCCAGATGACTCCATAGTGGGGAAGAGATTAAGAAACTCTGCCAAAGAAACTCGTGGCTACCTGAACAAATGCTCCCACAAGATCGGGAACGCCAAAAGGATGCCCAACCCACCGACAACAGCATGGGAAGACAAAAACTAAAGAAATGAAGAACCTCACTCACAAAGGTAGGAAAGGAAAACCTGATGCCCAATTGGAAGAGAATCTCAAAAAAGAAAACCCTCTGCTTCAAACAGCGGTGGTAAGGATCACCATACACAACATAAACTGATACACTCGCAGGAAAGTTGTAGCAGCTTGATAATGTGCGGGCTTCTATCGCATCTATCTCACTAACCTCGACATCGGGAAAGGTTTCTCACATGGCGTCATACCTGATAGCCAAAAGTTGAGACATAGTGAGAATTGGAGAGAAGGGTCTAGAAAAGTAGAATGAAGAATTTTCTAGTAACGAAGCAGAGGATACTTAAGCAAAAGTGGTGAAAGCTAGCAAAGAAGATGTATGGTTTTTAAAGGGAGTTTTGGTGGTACAAATCTCTCCAAAAAGATGTAATGAGTACCTATCCATTGCATTAAATGTGCCTGCCACGTGTCACAAAAATCGCCAAACTTGCAGAACATGAAAACACAAGTTAAAAGGTCTAAAATGACCCTGGTAACCCTGAAAGACTCAAGCACAAAATACTCAACGTGAGCTTTAAACAAAAAAGCTCTTCAGATATGAGACAAA